TCTTTCAGACTTACACAATGCACAGCCATGCTGAATCTTTTTTATTTTCTCTTCTTTAGCCTTCTGATGATTTTGCCACTGGTCATGCAAGCGCTTGGCATTCAGCTCATTCTGACTCTCCTCTCGCCTCCTCAGCAGCTTCTTTAAGACTTCAAGTTGAACCTCCTGCAACCTGCAAGGAAAGAAAAGGTCAGGTATTATCTACTGTACTCTGCAGTGTTCTGTGCAATGCTGTCATCATCAAATCCTACATACCAACTGACGACTTTACAAGTAGCTCATATTGCATATCTCATATTCAGTCTTTCATTTTAAAAAGTGCAGTAAGCACTGGTGAAATGTATCGTGGTAGCAGTCTCTTAGGCTAAATTTAACAAATACATCCTCCCCCAAAATCAGGGGATTTTCACAGAAATAAAAGGCTTGTTGTACCCATCAGCCAATCCCATAAACCTTCTTGCTCCTTCCTTATTCTGGCAATAATTAAAATAAATAAAAGAATATAATTGGACTCCTACTCTTCTATTTCCTGTTCTCTGAAGACCCACTCCTTCCTTTCCATTTCATCCATCATTTTCTTCCTCTTCGTGATTTGTGAGGGGCTGTCCATGGCTGGAAGAGCTGCTTCCCATGCACGTTTTTCCCGAGCACGTTCAATCATCTCCACCTCGGCCAGTCCTGCTGGGAGCCCCCGACCTTAGAGGGACAAGAAGCACTTTAGGAGAACTGGCAAATCCCACAAACAGCCACCACCAAAAAGTATTAGAGGGCTGGACGAGCACAAGCTCATGTGTTAAACACAAGCAGAACTGTCAAAAGCCAAAAGTAAATACTTCTAAGGCCAGTAAAATTCTACAGTATGAGGAACGGTAGGACCTGCAGTTGCTATAGCTTAGTTGACGATAACACTAGCACTTCATTCTTCTGCTGCAGGATGCAAAACCGGAAAAACTTTTCTAGAAATACACCTTCTGAGAATGAGCACTTTCTTTGGCATGTCCAATGTCCATGATCATTGCAGATGAGACACTGGGAGATGAGTATCACAGGTATATTCTGGGGCAGAAGTCTTCATACTGGTTTGTTTTTTTACTGATGTTCAACTCAGAACAGCTGAAGAAAAACTGGGAGCAGAAAAACTGATGTTCAACCCAGAACAGCTGAAGAAAAACTGGGAGCAGAAAACTGCTCCCAGTTTCTATGTGTGATACATGACCTTTTTACACTGAATGATCTCAAAACTTTTCATTAAATGATCCCAACAATGCTATTAAGTAGGAAAATATCGTAACTAATTTACAAACACATAAATAATGTGCTTCAAAGGAACACAACAAAGGATTGTCAAAGCTGGCAGCAGACTTGAAACTTGGTATTAAAAAGAAAAGAACCTCCTGCTACAGAGGTGACATGATTATTACAATTTATCTTTATTTCACAACTGACCCCAAGTGAGCGTAGCAAGTGTCAGAAGTTCAGGGACTGAGCCACTGGTAACTATATATTCAGGGGAATAAGGATCTGTCTGGGCTTCACCATCCCTGTAATCCGTCTGTGTACCCAAACTTCGTAAATTGGGGCCAAAGACCTCTGTGTCTTCTGTAGCTGAATGTACAGATGGCTCTGTCCTAAAAAAAAGATGAAAGAACATTTGTCACATTCATTTAAAAAAAAAGCCCCAAACAAACCAGAAACACAACAGTCAGTCAAAGGCAGGACATACAAATATGTTTTGTTGTATCTTAACATTGCTTCCATTGATGTTAACTCCACTATCTGTAGTAAAAGCAGACTGAGGCTACACTGAGTCATTTGAAACACCCTCCTTAGTTAAACAATCCAGAAGTCTTCTCGTTGCAGCTCTCATAATTATTACATACATATCTTCCCTATGTGTCTATTCTAAAGCATAGCCTTTAATGGACATAAAATGTAACCAATAGTTGAGTATAACATGAAGCAGGACTGCTTCAATTTAGCTTACATGTTTCTCTTTCCAGCAATTCCAGAATAAAAAATTTAATCCTAATGTAACCAGATGCAACTTCCACTGACTCTACTAGGAGCCGAATCTTCTTATATGACCTCAAAATTTGATACCGGCTGAAAACCACATTAGACTACTTCATGGATGCTCTACACCACTGAACAGTATTGCATCTATCACAGAGATTGTAATAAAATATCAGAAGATTTTCCAACAATATTGCTGTACTGGATAATCTTCTCTGCAATGGTATCTCTTCTAGGATTCAGAGACACTTAGCCTTCTGTTTCAGGCTTCATAATCATAACACACTTGAGGCACGTGTCCTTTACTCACAAAGCGCTCCTCATATACTGCAAGCAAATTCTGAAACAGTCAATGACCTGTTTCCTCAAGAATCCTCACCTCTTAACAAGTTTTTCGTTCATTATGAAAAATATTGGTCACCAGCTAAGTAGTTTCCCAATCTTTTTCTGGTGAAATGTGACCCATTACAACAGTAACGTCCCAGAAGTAACTACTTACTTTGTCATCAGGTGAGCAACATCTAATGGAACATTTACTGGAAGCAGCTTATTAGATGAGCTGAGAGGTCTGAAAAGAGAGAACAAAAGCAAGACAACAATGATGAGTGTAAAAGATCATTATGGTTTAGAAAAACTGCAGTCTACTAATTTCAGTGGAGTTACACTGACTTTCCACAGCTCAGGTTCTGTAGTTGCATGTTTTAGAATTGTGCCTGAATATCAAATAATTCTTTCATACTAACAGAGAAAGTTTCACTAGTGGGACCGAGTGTTATTTTTATGTCAAAGCAGAAAGTGAAACTGCAAAAGAAGACAATAATTAAAGAAATTATTTTTCAGTTTGCTCACAGCATTTTGTTGTTTTACTTTTTTCACTTTGAGCTTTTGAGAGAGTTTAGGGGTTTTTTGAATAACTGCTTGAAATCCTGAAATGAATTCCTACAATCAGCTGATAAAGTAAGCTGTTTTGGACTTACCTAATTTGATTGTTTCCTTTTTTGCAGTATTTTATGAGGTACATATTACTAATTCCTTCATAGGCATTCTTACAGTTTGTGTATTGCAGTTCATTATTGATGTGCCTTGGCCTTTGGGAGACTTTAAAGCTTAATTTCAAATTTCAGAACATAACATTGTCCCTGTTCTTTTTTTACTGTTGTTAAAGGAGCCATAGAGGACTTAAATTTTTTAAGCCTGGCAATTTTTTTATAATTCAAAGTGTATGTGACCAAGTTGAGAATGTTTATATTCTCTCTATTGGTTCAGATCTTGAGTCCATTGCTGACTTGCAGTGTCATTCTAGAAGGAGCAGAACAGTCCTGAGATAGAGGATACTGATGAAAAGGTAATCAAGGATTCCCTTTGCTCCTTTTCTGCTCCTGGCAGAAACAGGGAGTTGAAAGGTTCCTTCTTAAGAAGACACCTCTCTAGGAGTCTGGAGAACCACATTGGCTTTGTAAGTATCTTCTTCCTTTGCACAGGAGGATTTACAACCCAAAGCTTTCTACAAATAATTACTAAGCACAGATTGCCTTTTATATTTGCTTATATGGTAACTCATTAGCTGAAAATTCTGGCATAGGATGAACTTAAAAACACCTTGTGATTTAAGAGTTGGTAACTATTTAAATTTTCCATATCAGTGATCAAAGAAACGACAGAAAAGACAGAAAAAAATAATGCCAATGCTCTGACATTTACTTAGGTGCTTTTTAAAGTGCACAGAAGCTTCTGAACTCTGTTTCAAATCAGTTCATTCCTTACCGTGCAAAATATTTGTAGCGATTCCTTCCACCAACTTCAGGATCCTCATACACAATCTGAGGTATCTGAGGAGAAGACTGAGCTCTAAAAGCCAAAATACAGGATATCATTTAAGCAGTACATTCAGAGCAGTTCTCTTATGCCATTTTTTAAAAAATCTCTCTCTTCTCTGGTTGCACAATCCAACAGGCACACTACAAATTCCCCCAAATCCCCTCACTTATACAAGCAAATATATTTTGCTTTTTTCATACTTACATATGTAACAAAATAGTTTGACACTTTATGTATATTTCCCACTATGTGTGGACAAGAAATGGCCATTTCCTGTCTTTACTAGAATTTTCCTATGCATGTCTTATGAAGAGGATTGGCCACTTGTAGATGCTTGACTTTGTAAAGTAAACTACTTTTACTGAAGTGGGGGGAGCAAGCGCATTTCCTTAAGAGTGAAACACTTTCCCTAACAGAAAGCATGTGTAAAAGGGACAGAATGGGCAAAGGGGAGGACTACCACTTTCTACCTTTGAAAAGCATCTAAAGAGATTTTGAGCAAAAGTTGAAAACTTCAATTTGAATTCCAAAATAAAGGAGAAGAATTAGGGTGACCATGTGAATGTTTCAGAACTGATGCTGGAACAACCATATCTTTTGCAAGAACACTCTTCATTTTTCCCCATTTTGAATTTAAAGTAGGCTGCCTCTTTAGACTTTTCAATATAACATCTTGGCAGAGTTTGCTTTATTTTAAAGCTTTGGAAGACCATGAGGAAGACCTCATTAAGGCAGTCAGTAAGAGAATGTGTAGAACTGAGTAATCTGAAAGCTATGCAACTGGATTGCTATTTGATTTCACAACCACTTTAGATTGCAGTCTTATTCTTCTCAACCTGCAGTGTGGTTAAAGACAAGAAACAGAAGTTCTTAATAAAACCCCTAAAGCCCAAATCATGCCATTAAGGGAAGTTATTTCTCTAAGTTATATACATGGCAACTCCTGAAGGACAGGTTTTTCACAGTATCATTTTTCGCAACTTGTAAGAATTCTGACCTCAGCTGTATGGGATTTTGGGTGCTGGAATTGGTTGCTGCTGCCTAATTTTAAATACAAAGGTGTAGTTACAGAGGTACAATTAACAATACATAACATTGCTCAACAGCTGGGATCAAAACAGAGGACTGCATGCTGAGATCAGTTGTCTTGAAAGACCTTATCCAAGTCCTGCAAGCTGTGCTGTGGAATTTGGGGAGCCACAGTATGGCTATCTGCTTCAGAAAAGCCCATAGAGAGATGCTTCATTAACCTCCCATGACATGCAATTTACTGCCAAGGTAAGTTTAAAGTCATCTCTTCCCAGGGCTTTCAGTCATATCACATAACAGAAGAGAGGGGAATGTTTCGAGATGCAGTGCAGTAACCTGAAATACTTGCTCAGCACTAATCAACCTATTATTGTGAAGTTGTGTTTGTAATTCAAATGAGTTAATTGAGCCGATGGCTAGTTCCACTAGCTGACTCTTTACATATCAGACTCTTGCTCCATCCAGATGGATTTGTGTTTCATTCAGCACAGGTGGGCACTTATTCTTATGATCTAACTTTATTAGCATAAGCTGTTCATCCTATTATGGTATAGTTATAGGCACAATGGGAACCCAGGGAAATAGACCCTTTTATTCCACAGATCCTGCCTCTTGCATGTCCTTGACTTATATTCGCTGACTTTGCTGAAATAAATGAGCATTTATTCCCAGTAACCTTGCAGAGGCAATGCAACTACTGAGAAGACAGCTGGGAAATATTCTGTCTTCTGTATCAGCAGCACTGTCAATCAGTGCCAGTTGAAACAGAGGGGATGTATTCCTCATTTTTTGCTAATTGCAAGACATATTGCAAATACATACTGTTGAAGTGTAAATCAATTTTAAAGCAGCATAGGTGCCAAATAAGTGGTTACAGAATAACAGGCAAGATATGAGAAGCAACTGAGGTTTTCACACACTGGGGACAGTTTGAAAAACTAAAAATAACAGTAAAAAAACCCCAAACTCCAGAATTCCTTTTTTTTAATTATAGAAATGATAAATATATGCCTTTGAAACTAAAGAAAACCAGGTTTGAAATCCACTGTATCACTCTTAAACATCTTCAATTACTGTCTGGCATGTGGTAGAACATCAGTTACCAGCAACCCCAGAGCATGCATCATCTGAAAAGCCCATGGTCTAAAATTAGTTTGTTAAAGCAGAAAAAAACTTTGACAACAACTATCTAGGCTGATACTTACGGTCTTGAATACAACTACAAGAGGAGTTAAGAAACCATGTGGTGTGGCAAAAGACACAAATGCTTTTTTGAAAAATTTGCGGAATCAGAAGCCCAAATTGTGATGCCAGGAGAAAGTACAACTAAGAAAGCCCTACACTAAAACTGTGGAGCCCTGGTTCAGGGCCCATACAACCCGGAACAAGCAGCAAGAACTATCTAACCAGCTGCAATTGCATGGGACTAAAATGAAACAACACTGAAGTAACACACATGAGTCACTGAAGTCTTCGTAACTCATCTATCTCTAAGAGACTGAAATAACTCTCTTCTCTTTCACAACAACCACTGCAAAGCAGATAGCACAGGGATGAAGGAATGTGCAACATCCACCCTGTAAGAAACAGATGGGTAACCATACTCCACAACAGCTGCAATCTCTTAATTTCAAGGGAAATATAAGTAGGAGCAAATTGCAGTCATCTCCACTTCAGTGCGCAAGGGTTTTTGATGCTTTTGTTTGCATGTTTGTTTTAAATTATCCAACCATAGAACACTTACACAGCAAGGATGAAGGAATGTGCAACATCCACCCTGTAAGAAACAGATGGGTAACCATACTCCACAACAGCTGCAATCTCTTAATTTCAAGGGAAATATAAGTAGGAGCAAATTGCAGTCATCTCCACTTCAGTGCGCAAGGGTTTTTGATGCTTTTGTTTGCATGTTTGTTTTAAATTATCCAACCATAGAACACTTACACAGCAAGATGCTGAAGACGGGAGCTGCTGCTGCTGACCCCTCCATCTTCGTTCAATAAATGGAGGAACTTGATCTTTGTCCTTCAAGCACAAACTGCAGGCCGGGAAATTAATCTCCCTGCAAGCCATACTTCTGAACATTGGTGACTTTACCTAGTGTTTGTGTGGACACAAAGAGGAAAGGAAGTAATTTAGTGATTTCAAACAGCATTAAAGGGATCAGAATTTCAGCCCACTGTAATTTACAGGACTGCATGTTTGGGATGGGGAAAGAAGGCAGCATACGTATGCTAATGATGTCAGCTGGTTAGATGGTACTTCTCAAGATGTGGAGCATACCAGACTAGCAGCAGATGCACAGATATGTCTTCTGGCTGTTTTCCAGTGCTAAACTTACACTGAAAATCAAAGGGTCTAACGGTTTGTTACATAAAGAAGTTAGTGTACAGTAACTGTGAATGTGCAGCAATGTGAGCTGCTAGCACATTACCCCATGTAACTTCCTCCTATTTCATGTGCTCTAGAAATTAAGTAACATGTTCCACTTACAGAGTAAAGTTACATTATTTTATACTGTTACAATTTTAGCATTTGTTAAAAATATCACAACGGGAGCTAGCACACAAAAACGATCACATTGAAAATCTACACACTTCCTTTTAAGCACTAATTTCCCTGGGTAGGATACGCCTTAAACTGCTAAATTTATGGTTGCCAATAAATCCTTGCAATCGTGCCTCAAGTCTAAGTGGTGTAGCTTCTGTAAAGACTGAAATCAGACCTGAATCATGAATTGCCCCTTTCATTTCAGTGGGTGCTAACTCAGATGCCCATGGGGCAGTGGTGACATTTCAAGTCAAGACACCAGAGTGTAAAACAGTATCAGCTGAGGAAGATCTAGGCACCCTCCTGTGAGTAGCTGCTTGCTGTGCACGAGATTACATTTTTGTTTCCTTCCTCTTCAAAGGGAGTTCAACATTTGAGAGTTTGGAATACCCTATCAGCTAATATTATCACAACCTCTGTCCAGCTCAATCTGTGATGCTAGAGGTTAGGTGTTCTGTTGGAGAATGGCTAAGAGAGCGGGGACATAATCCTGGGAATGCACCTGGGGAAGGCTAAAAAGAGCAAGGACACAGTCCCCTGGGAACGCACCTGGGAATGCAGTGTACAAGCAAGGCTCTGGAGATAGTAACATATATAGATAGGGAGTAACTCAGCTTGGCAGATGGTAGGGGCAAGTTGTCCTTGAGGGTGAGACAAACAAGTTTGAGACAAACAGCTAGGAATGCAGCCAAGCCTGGGAAAGTAAGAGATAATCCTCACAGCTGTAACTGCAAGTAGGGAGAGTACCTGAATGCTATCTTTAGAGCTTAGCCAATTACAAATGATTGATAGTTATATGCCTGTCCTGCACTGTGTAAGAAAGAGCCTGTTGGACAATAAAGTTGGAGCTTGCTTTATCACCCACACGGAGTCGGCCACTTGCTTCCCTGCGCGGAACTTCACCTTTCCCGACAAATGGCGCCCGAACAGGGACAAGAACAGTGTTCAAAATTGTATTGTTTTGAATTGCACATTATGCATTTGCTGATTCATATGCTTAAAACACGTTTTATGCAAGTCAGAGTCTGCCCAGCATATCCATCTGCACCATTACACCTATGACATGACAACATTAGTGACAGTGTGCCTGTTTATTGTCTGGCCTGAACTGCTATCACAGCCATATTATTGCAAGGACCTCTCTGATGATGGGCAATGTTTCCAGCTCCATGTGCAAGTCTCTCTACAGAGAGGCGACAAATATGTGGGGTTTTATTCATGTAGAAATAAGAAAGAGTTTCAGGTAATAGGGTAAGAGACATCCAGAAACATGCATTTAAAAAATTATTCTTGATTCCATTGCTGGAAAGCTGCTCAGGGATTTTCTCCTTGCTGTACAGCAATGGAGTTTGAGTTCAGAGTATCTGCCTTGCAGCCCCAGTCAAGTGCAAAGCTTCAGGAGGACTCTTTGTTTAGAATCCGATTCATTTTGCAGTTGTGCCAAGTCTGTTTTCTTTGGCATTCTACCCATATTCAGCCTGTCCAGCTGTCTTGTCACTGCTGTCTAAAGGTGCAACTGCAATTCCCACAGACATCTCTAAGCTGGTTTTAAACTAGCTAGAGGGAATACAGATAGCAGGGGAGCAAATGCAGTAGGGAGTTAAGCATGGGCTAACTAGCTAAGGGCTTAGCTAGGAAGTTAAACTGTGCTAACCCAGTGTGAAGAATCATGATGGATTTGCAGTCTTTGTAAGCTGCTTAGCTGTTGCTACCTAGTTCATTTTAGTTTAAGTATGCTACGTGGATCTGCAGTGTATGCCCAAGGTAGGTGAGGAGGCACCGTATGAAATAACACATTTTAACAGCTCTGCTTGAACAACAGCCCAACAACTGTCCAGTTATTTTATTAGATCTAAAAAAGATATACAAGCTATAGTTAACAGCATTTGGAGACAGTCTATTAAGAACACCGACACACAATTTAGGAAATTACTCAGCACATGAAACTGGGTATTTCTAGGGTGCTGTTACAGTCACCCTAGGCCAGCAACCATAACTACATTCTGTGTTGTCTTTTTTTCAGATAAAACAGCTTATTTTGTTCTGTCCTTTGCTGTTTTAAGGGAGCAGCTTAGGACTGAGATGGAGTTTTACCTATGTGTGTGCACAGAGGAAAAAGTAAGGTGCACATGTGAACTGTCTTTGGCTAACACCTACCACATTATCACCAACAAGTTGTCCGTGGATATTTGACTTTGGTCCTTCTCACTTGACAGTGCATACAGAGAGTCTGAAAGATAAATGAACAAATGGAACTAGTTACACACTTAGAATCATACGAGTTTTAGGGGTTGGAACAGACCTTATAGATCATCTAGTCCCAACACCTCCCTGCCATGGGCAGGGACGCTTCCCCATGAGACCAGGTTGCTCAAGGCCTCATCCAGCCTGGCTTTGAACACTGCCAGAGTTGGGGCAGCCACAGCCTCCCTGGGCAACCTGGGCCAGTGTCTCACCATCCTCCCAGCAAAAAACTTTTTCCTGATATCTAACCTAATCTTCCCCTCCTTCAATTTGAATCCATTACCCATTTCCTATCACTGCAGTTCAAGAAGATGACTCTGTGCTGAAGAATCAGCACAAATTGTATGGCTACAATTCCCTCTTTAAACATTGTTGTATAAAACAAGTATAAAACAAACTAGGAAAGAAAAACTAGGAAAGAAAAAATACAGGTATCCGTATGAAAGAAATTCCACTATCACACAAACGCACCTCAGAGCTGAAATACTACTGTTCTGTGGAACACGAACATGAAAAATCTGGGAGAAAAACCTACTTTTAGATATAGTAGAAAAATCGACTCTTAGATCTAGCAGACAAATCTACTTTGTTTGGAAGCACCGCCAGTTTAAACAGAAAACGCGAAGTCATGAAACATTAAAAGGAAGGCATTGTGCGATGGTCATCAGTGGAAATATCATACTGCATGCCACGCTGCCCCCTGGGACACAGAGCTATCGCTGGCTTTGCCCCAGATCGCAAATGTGTCGCCACCCCAAGCATCTCCTGGGAGCCTTGCCACTTCTTGCGGCTCTCCCCAACTGCAGCCTTGGTCCTCGAGGCTCTCCGAAGGGCTGCAAGGCGGTGAGGGTCCATCCCGTGCAACTCGTGGGCGCAGGGAAGCAGCTGTGGTTGGGGTAGAGCAGAGGAAATTGACGGCTCGTGTATCTTTGCTGTTTTTTGTTTGGTTGCGATGCTCCTCAGTCCCCTTGGAGCCTCGCTCACTGCCCAAAGAACCTGGCTTAGCAGTTAGAATTGGGGACAGGATTCAAGCTTGGATGTGCTTATTCCTTGGCTTGGCTTGTTACTGCTTAGGACTTGTGCAGCCATGAAGTGGTGAAAAGAGGCTTGGTATTTACCTCCCAGAGGGACTGCAGGTATTTCTGCATCCGTGATCATCTGGAGAGGCCTGTGCAAAGCATTACAAATAAACATTGTGGCTTGCAAAGCATTGCTGTTTCCACAAGGAAGAGGAGGCCATCCTCTTCATGAGAAACAAACTTGGAAGCTTCTTCATGCTTCATGTTGAAACCAGAAAGGGCTAATTCTTTTGTGACCATAAAGAGATTTGCAGGCAATGCTGCCTTGGAATAGGACATTAAAAGCAGTGAAATTGCAAATGGGCCCTCTGCTCTACCTATAATCCTGAAGCAAGTCCCTTATGTCAGATATTTTGCATAGAAAACTGTCTATCAAAGGGTTATTCACAGCTTGCCACATCTGACATAAAATTTTGGCCCCTCAGGACCTAATCACAGGAGAAGAACATTAAGACTGTGGTTCCAAATTCCTTGCCTCTGTGAATTTACATGTAGGCATTTAATTCAACTTTGCCAGTTTACTTTCTTGAAAGCCCATCACTTCCTTGAAGCAACAACTTCTTTCTTAGGGTAGTTGTTCAAAATGGGCCAATTGAAGACTCGGGTGTGAGTCTGAACTAAAATGCTGTCACAGCTTTGTTTCTGACTGACATCTGTAGGATGTGACTTCCCACAATGGAATGATCCATGCCGTAAAGATGCCCAGCAGGGTGTAAAGGCCCTCATTTTGCTACAGAGCTTTACAATGTGACATTTTATTATAATTATTGACAGGGGCAGCAATAGTCACTTTTTAATAGAGATACCAGCATTTCTCACTATGAAGTTCAGTTTTCCTTTCTTGTATCTCATTTCGTTAAAACCCCATGACTTCCATGCTGAAATTTTTCCATGACAAACATCTGCCTTGAGGTAATTAGGTGTGTAAACTGTACTTTGGCCAAAAAAATATGCTTTGTCAGCTCCACCCTTTAACATTTTTCCACTTTAAATTTTTCAGAGATGACTGAATACAGATCGCCTGGACTTCCTTTTTCTTCTGATGAGGAAGGGAACCAGATGGAAACCAATGAACAACAGAACAATTAAATGAGTTCTTGACAGTGCTACAAAATGCCAGGGCATAGCCCAACAGACAAGTACTCTCTGAAGTCATGTAAGACCAAAAAGGTGCAGTCCCACTACTAACTTTAACTGTGT